GATGGGTCCCTTGGGCTGAATTTATGACTTGCTTTGACTAATAGAAACTAGTAGAAATGGCTCCATCTGAGTTCCTGTAGCCAGGGTCTCCAGAGATCCCGGGGTTGTCCTTGGTTCTCCTAGAATACTTCAGTATCAAAGGAGTCCATGCTAAGAACTGGTGCACACCTTTAACCACAACACTCAGGAGGCAGGGGCAGGCGAGACTCTGCGAGTTTGAGGCCAGCGAGTTCCAGGGCAGCCAGGGTTATACACAGAAAACCCCTGTTTTGGAAAAACAAAAACAAAAAGAAAGAAACAAGGTGAACAGATAACTCCGGAGGAGCCAGTGGGCCTGACTTCTGAGCTCCACATGCACCCAAATGAAAGGAGGGGGGGGTGGGCATGACACGATTTTGATGACTTTGGCCTAGTAGTCAACGGGTGGAATATCCCCTACCTGCGATGGGTAGAGCTGACAGAGTTTGGGAACACAAGGCTGTCAATCCATGCGGAGGGTTAGGCAGACAGCCCCGGGTCTGGATTCCAGGGAGAAAGCTTATCCGGGAAGACGGACTTGTCCGAAGCAATTGGGCTGAATGACATCCTGAAGGAAGGAAGAGAAGACCAGAAAGAGGACCGGGGATGGAGTCCTGGGAGTGCAGAAGAGGCTGGGGAGAGGAGGGGGATGCAAAGGGGAGTGGTCATCGCAGCAGGCAGAGAAGCTGAGAGTGACCTCAGAAGTTGGTGAAGTGACTTGACAGCCAGTGAGACATTTCATCATCGCATCGCGTTGGCATTGATGGGGCACTGGGACCTTTGCTAGCGTCATCTTGACGGTGCGAGAGAAAAGGAGCTGGTTAGAACTCTGATTTCCTTCTGTGATAAAAGGGGTGATACTGTGGTGTTTTGAGGAAGACCGACTGCCATAGGCTCACATATTTGATTGCATAGGGAGTGGCACTATCTGAAAGGACTAGAGGTGTGACCTTGGTGGAGTAGGCGTGGCCTTGGTGGAGTAGGCGTGGCCTTGGTGGAGTAGGCGTGGCCTTGGTGGAGTAGGCGTGGCCTTGGTGGAGGAAGCGTGTCACTGGAGGTGGGCTTTGGGGATTCAAAAGCCCAAGCCAGTCCCAGAATCTGTCTCTCTTCCTGCTGCCTGTGAACCCTGATATAGATCCCTCAGCTATCTCTTCTACACCACGTCTGCCTGCACGCTGCCATGCTCCCTTTAGTTCTGACGATCGAGGGATCGAACCTCTGAAACTGCAAGCCAGCCCAATCAAATGCTTTCCTTTATGAGAGTTTCCATGTTCGTGGTGTCTCTTCACAGCAATAGGACACTGACCAAGACAGGTGGAGCATCAGCAGCATCCCGTGGAGCCAAGTCTCTTATTCCAGGCCCCAGCTTCACGTGGAAAAAGGGGTTCACTGAATGGACTCTAAGGATGCTTCCAGCATCCATGCTCGACAACGTTGCCACATCACTCACTGTCTATTTCACCTCTTCTTTGACATCTGGCTACCATCTTACCTTAATTTCTTAATCCTGTGGCGAGAACCAATGTGTGTGGATACTGATGGTTGTCTGGGGAACAGGTGGTGAGCAACCCTGGCCCCATCTGTCCAAGATCTCCTAAAGTGAGTGTGGCATCTGATAGTGACCAGGACTTAGAATCCGGCTATGGGGACCTGAGGCCGGGGACATTCCTGTGTCTGTTTCTTTGTATGTATGGCCACCCTCTCTTTCTCCCATCCTCCTTCCTTCCCTCCCTCACTAGCTGTGAGGATGGAATGAGCCTGTAATGAAATGAACTCGTGGGTTGGAGAGGTAGCTCAGAGGTTAAGAGCACTGGTTGTTCTTCCAAAGGTCCTGAGTTCAATTCCCAGCAACCACATGGTGGCTCACAACCATCTGTAGTGAGATCTGGCACCCCCTTCTGGACTGCAGGCCTATATGCAGACAGAACACTACATAGTAAATACATAAATCTAGAAGAAGAAGAACTTATATGAAGGAGGACCAAGGTGAGGCAGTGGATGTCTCTTGCAGAGTCAAAGTCATTTTCTTGCCCTGGAGTAGGACCAGAGGTTTGGCAAGAAGACTCGGGACCGGAGGTGGAGCCTGGCTGTTCTGGGCTGCGCTCCAAGCTGTCTCTGCTGCAGCAGGAATCTGTCCACTTTCAGCCCCTTTACATAGCATCCTTCAGAGCCAGAAGGATACTTTCTATATAAAAATGCCCCAGGAATACAGGCCAGTCTCAGGTCTTGGGTTTCCCTGTCTTTGGCAGAAGCTTCACTACCCTCTAGGTAACTGAGTCCTCCCTTTACCACAGCCCAGGGACCCTTCTGTGCCACGCCACTGCCTTGTCTGCCTCTTCCTCACACCGGCATGTCTGTCCTGGCCTTCCCTGCCCACCCCTTTCTCCCATGCATGATTCTGCACTATGCCTTGAGGCTAAACACCCGGCCCTGTTGTAATGTCAAGACGAATGTCAATGTAGAATGTTCTGCTGTACTCACTGATTGGTGCCTAGCCCAGTAGTCATCAGAGAGGCAGCTGATGGAAACAGAGACCCTCAGCCAAACATTAGGCCAAGCTCAGGGAACCTGCCGAAGAGCAGGGAGGAAGGATTGTAGAAGCTAGAGGAGTCAAGAAGATCATGAGAAAACCCATAGACTCAATCAGTCTGGGTTCATAGGAGGTCAGGGTCTGAACTGTCAGCCAGGGAGCTTGCATGGGGCTGACCTAAGCCCGCTACATGTATATTACAGTTGTGTAGTTTGGTCTTCTTGTGGAAGTCCTAACAGTGGGAGCAGGGGCCGTGCCTAACTCCTTTGCTGGCTTTTGGGACCCTATGCCGCATACTGGGTCACCTTGCCCAGCTTAATACAAGGAGAGGAGCTTACTTAGTGCTTTGTTGATACCCACAGGAGGCCTGCCCCTATCTGAATAGAAACAGAGGAGAAATGGATTGGGAGGGAAGAGCGGAGGTGGGAGGGGAAACTATGGTCAGGAAATTTAAAAGAAAAGAGTCCTAAAAGTTCGGGCCTACAAAATGACTCAGTGGGTTCACGCTACCAAGCTGGGTGGCTTGGATTTGAATGGGGTACCTGCATGGTGGGAGGGGAAACCTGACTCCTGTAAATTGTCCTCTGACCCTGCATGCACACCTGTACACACACACACACACACACACACACACACACACACACACACACACAAATGCAATAAAAAATTAAAGAGTACCGAAACCTCCTTTACTTCCTGCTCTAGCCCGTGGCTGGGATCAATCTTCACTGTCAGCTTCAGTTAATGTAACACTTGGAGCAACGTCAGTTATTTCTACGTGTACAACTGGAGAGAGTTAACTAAGGAAGAAAGAGCCACCTTAAAAGTAAGTGGCATATCCCATGAGCAGGGTTCCTGGCCTGAAGAAAAAGGGAAAAGAGAAATGAGTTGGGTACCAACACCGATCCCCCTGTTTCCTGGATGACCTGGCTACAGCCGCCGTTAGTGCCAGATCTTGCCTTAGTGAGTGGCCGCCCATGTTGTCCAGCCCGTCTATAACCTCCATCTCCACCTCCATGGCCGCTTCATTCATGGGTCCATTGGGCAATGACAGGGATGGCTGGGGAAAGAGGCTGGCTGTTCTCAGAATGGGTCGTGCTGTCTACTTGATTACTGAACTCCTCCTCAGCTGACATCACTTTTTGATGAGCACTTACATGGGACACAAGCCGTCTCCCATTTTGGAGAGATCTGCCCACATACTTCTTTCCCAGATGTCTTTCTTACCAATTTTCCAATAATTCTTTTTCCCAGTTCCTGGCCAGACAACGACCTGGTGGCAGCTGACTACACTGGGCCACTTTCTCTGTGGAAAGGATAACTCTTTGTCCTCCCTGGAGCAGATCCTTATTCCAGTTACAGATTTGCCTTTCCTGCATCTAACGCATCAGCCAAAACCACCATCTGTGGACTTAGAGAATGCCTGATCCACTGATGGGGTATCCCACACAATATTCCTCTGACCAAGGAGCTCACCCCACAGCCAGAGAAGTGCAACAGTGGCCTGAGATCATGGAATCCACTTGTCTTACTGTGTTCCCCACCACCCTGAAGCAGCCTGATAGTAAGATGGAACAGTTAAGGTGCCAATTAAGCGGCAGCAGCCTGGACAGCTGGGACAAGGTTCTCTAGAAGGTGATATATGTTTTGAATCAGCACCCAATATATGGTATGGTTTCTCCCATAGCCAGGATCCATGGATCCAGGAATCAAAGGGTGGAAAAGGGAATAGTTTCACTCACTGTCACCCTTAGTGAACCCAGGTCCACTGGAAGAGCAGCCAGTGCTCTTAACCACCGAGCCATCTCTTCAGCCCCAGTGGTGGCGCACACCTTTAATCCCAGCACTCGGGAGGCAGAGGCAGGTGGATCTCTGAGTTTGAGGCCAGCCTGGTCTATAAGATGAGTTCCAGAACATCTAGGGCTACACAGAGAAACCCTGTCTTGGAAAAAAAGATGGTGGCACTATTCCTCAGATTTTGGGGCTGGACTTATACAAGAGGAGAACAATAGAGGACCGCAAGCTCTCTGCTTCCTGAGTGTGGATACAATGTGACCGACTCCTCCAAGCGCCTGCTGCTGTGATTTTCCTCCCATGATGAACTCTAACCTGTAACTGTGAACCAAAGCAATCCCTTTCTCCTTTAAGTTGTCTTTTCCTTGGTCATTCATCACAGCAACAAGATAAAGCTAAGACAATGCAAGAAGTCATTTGCCTCACAACTCTGTTGGGGGAGATATGCTTAGTCTGCCTTTACAGGTGTGGAAATGGACATAGGAGCTTCAGTCATTTGTCCATGGTCATGTAGCTAGGTGGAGGCCACAGCTGGCATATGAACCCAGGCAGTTGACCTATGTTTGGGGAAAGTGACAGGTTCAGCTGGTGGTAGAGAACCCTGGCTGATGGCCATCAACTCTTGGCTTGAATTTCTGCTGTCCGTATATGACTTAATGTGCTCACTTCCAGAGCACATATACTAAAATTTGAATGATACAGAGAAGAGTTGCTAGGTCCCTGCTCAAGGACGACATTCTAATTTGTGGTTTCTTTCTAATTTGTGATTTGGTGGCTGTTTTTTGGAGGACCTGGGAACAGATTTTGCTGACAACCAGATGACTTTGGGATGCTAAGGTCTTATTACTACTAGTCAAACCTGGCTCATTTCTGGCTTTGATCCCAGACCTGGACAACAGCTATACTTTTCTAGAACTCCCAGCCTTCAGGAGTTCCCCATTTCCCTAAGCATAAGTTTTCTGAGTATCTGCCTTTCAGGGCCTCCAGGTCTCACTCCCACCCAAGAGGAAGATTCTCGAGTTTCCTGCCTCTTTTCTTATGCTCCACAGAAAATGTCTTGTCCATTAGTTACTGAATAAGCTACAGATACAAGACAATAGGGAAGGCACCGCTCATGTATTCTTTCACACATTCATTGACCTACTCATGAATATTTCTCCGATTTTGCTGTCAGAGCATGAAATGATAGCAAATACTGTGGATGGGAGCAGAGAGGGAACCCAGCTCAGTGCCAGATGCCCAGTGGGTATTACTTACTTGTTTTGTTTTCTGAAGCTGAGTCTTATACAACCCAGGTTGTCCTCAAACTGGCTATGTAGTTGAGGATAAACTGAGCCTCTGGTCTTCTTGCCTCTACCTCCCGAGTACTGGGATTACAAGCACTTGACACGGTGCCTGGTTTGCTTACACGGTCTGAGGATTGAACCTAGTGCTTTCTGCCTGCTGTGCAAGCAGGCTACCGAGTGAACCATACCTCTAGTCTAGCCCTTATTTACACACAAACGCACCCACACATTCTTGATGTACCTGCGGGCTTGGGACCTCATGGAGTCCTGAGGGCATGTGGCTCTGGTCCTTGTTCTTATCAACTTGGGGCAATTATCTTCTTATACTGTGTTGTTTTTCCCTAAGCCAGTTCTAGCCGGTCCAGTGGAGGTAGGTCCTAGAGCAGTGGTTCTCAGCCTTTCTAATCCTCCCACCCTTTAATACAGTTCCTCACGCTGTGGTGACCCCGCCCATAAGTTATTTCCATTGCCACTTCATAACTGTCATTTTGATACGGTTATGAATTGTAATGTAAACATCTGATATTTGATATTCAACCCCTGTGAAAGACTCATCTGACACCCCCCAAAACTTGCAGCCCATAGGTTGAGAACCCCTGTCTTTGAGTAGGGGCAGAGCTGTTGCCGAGAAATGTGTCTCAGGAGTGCATCTTCCACAGGTAGTTCATCCAGCAGAGGAGCTCTTGGGTGCTGTAACAAATGTTCCCTTCCGCTGGCTGCTTCCTGTTTTCCACCCACCTCCATCCTGCCTCACAGCCAATGTCAGAGCCAGCTGTTCAAGAGCCTAAGTCCAAGCTAAGCTATTGATGCCCACTCATGGCTAGTGAGTGTTGCATGCATGCTCACTTGTGCGCATGTGTGGTGTGCGTGCGTGCGTGTGCCACGTGGGTGGAGTGTGAGAAGATGAACATTAGGGTTGTTCCCATCTTTTGGTTATTGTAAGAGAATGTTGCAACGATTGAACACAGATATGAAAGTATTTAAATTCCTGATTTTATTAACCTGCTCTTTTGTGATGAATGATTTTAGAACTACGAGAAAGGGATCTGGAGAGGTGATATGGCAATTCAGAGCATTTCATGCCCTTCCAGAACAGCTGAATTCAATTTCCAGCACCCACATCAGGTGACTCATAGCCATCTGTAACTCCAGCCCTACAGGATTCAGCAGACTCTTCTGACCTCCTTGGACACCTACACAAACGTGGCACATACACACACAGACACACACACAGATAGATACACACATACACACATAAAAATTAAAATAAAATCTTTTTTCATGACAGGGTCTTACTGTGTACTCTGGCTAGCCTGGACTTGCTATGTAGACTGAGCTAGCCTAAATTGAACAGAGATTCTCATGCCTCTCCCTCCTGAGTGCTTCCATTAAAAGCATGTGCCACCAAATCAGGCAAAACTTGTTTTTTTTTTCGTTTGTTTGTTTGTTTGTTTGTTTATTTATTTATTGAGGCAGACTTTTTCTGTGTGGCCCTGGCTATCCTGGAACTTGATCTGTGGAGTAGGGTAGCCTGGAACTCAGAGATCCTTTGCCTCCTGAATACTGGGATTAAAGGTATGCACCATCACTGACCAGTTTAAAGTACGATTTTAAAAAAAGAAGGTGATGAAGAAGAAAAATGGCCTGTAAGATGGCTCAGTTATTAAAGGGTCTTGCCATTAAGCCTGATAACTTGAGTTTGAGGGGAGAACAGATTTCCAAAAGTTGTGTTCTAGTCTCCTCCCTAAGGATGCTGCTCTCCCTGTGAAAGTGTACACACACTCACCAAGTTTCAAGATTTTTTTTTGCTTATAATTATTATTATTTTGTGTGTCTCTGTATAAGCATGTGCATGTAGGCACCCATGGGGGTCAGCGGTGTCAAATCCCCCTGGGGCTGCAGTCACAGGGGGTCTGACTACCTGCCATGGGTGCTGGGAATTGAATTAATTCAGCCCCTTAACAAATCTCTTTTAGTACGTTCTTGAACATGAGAGTTAAGGGAAAGAGCATGCTCAGAAAGACATAAAACACACCTGAGAACATGGGTGTGGGTGTCTCTAAAACAGTCACTAAGGGAAGCTGCACCCAAGCATGGGGATGGGGTTTTCAAGGAATGCTTGAAAATCCTTTCTTTTATTTGCTTTGTTTTGAGATAGAGTCTCATTCTATAGCCCAGGCTGGCCTTCAACTGGAAGTGATCTAGCTCAGCCTCTGAACTATAGCATTCACCACCATACCCAGCCCAAATTATTAGATTTCTTAGACTTCCATCAAACTCAATATCCTAAGATGGGAAAAAGACAGTACATGTAGCGAAACTCTATCTACCAGAATGGTGGCTATGGATTGCATTAAGAGAAGTGTTAGGGATAGGGAAATAAGCCCTCACTACCTTTTGCAGTTTTGAAATTCTCTTTGTGTTGTTGTTTTTTTATAACGGAGCTTGTGTAGTTCAAGCTTGTCTTAAATTCCCTATGCAGCCCAAGATGACCTTGAACTCCTTGTCCTCCTGTCTCTATTTCCCGCTGCAGTGGTGTGGTCATAGGTTCCGAAATAATCTTCATAAAACTGCTACGTAGACAGGGAACTGGATTAACTCAGGCTCTGTGTGTCACAAAGAAGGGCACTTCAGCCTCCCCACTTTGAAAGCTGGCTGTCCTGGAACTTGCTCTGTAGACCAGGCTGGCCTTGAACTCAGAGATCCTCTGCCTCCTCAGTGTTGGGATTAAAGGCGTGTGCCACTACCCTGTACCAGAATAAAAAAGTTTTCATTCCATTTAGAAAGTGTGTTTTTGCTATCACTGCATCTAACAGTTTTATTTTAAAACTTTTCTCAAGTTAATTTGTCTTCATTTTGAGTTTCATTTTAAAAACCCTGTGATTAATTTATTCGACGTAATCTTATTTGTTTTAGAAAATATGTTTGTTGGAAGAGCATGGAGGGATGGGAAATAAAAGGAGGGACTCTAGTTGGGAGTTTGAGGCCAGGCTGGTCTGCATGGCGAGTTCCAAGCTATGAGGTAGTGAGACCCTACCTCAATAAATAATAAATACATAGCATGCAAAGAAAAGAGGTGGGATCTTTCTCTAGAGACCTGGGGTCCTCTGCAGAGGGTTTGTTTGCGATGTTGCAATGACGGGGGAGGGACAGACCCAACTTCCATCTTGGGAGGGTGAGGGGGGAACAGGATATCTCTGTGCCATGAAATGTTGATGAACTGTAGAGGGGATCCGCACAGGGGGAGCAGATGGAATTCCAGGATAATTGTTCCGGCTGTCACCAGAGAAGACTGGAAGACAGGAGCACTAGATAATTTATGGAGGGACAGATGCTTGGGCTTCTCCGGAACCATCTGGTCAACAGGGGCCTGAGCTTGGGGTGAATGTCATCTTTAGATCTGAGTAAACGCATTGGCCGCGAGCCTCCCTATTTCCTTTATCTGCCTTCTCCTTGTCCTGGAATCCTCTTAGAAGACTCAGATGCGGAACTCTAGCTGGCTTTCATCTCGTTTCCAGCCGTTGACTCTGGGGCTTGTCTTTGCTACCATTTCTGCCAGGACCCAGTGGTCTCTTGGTCATGTGTAACTTTTCTTATTTTGCTGTATTTTCAATTCTTTTCCCCCGGGACTATGGTCTAGAATCTTTCAGTCACTCACTTCCAGATCACTTATCGAATGACAAATATTTATTGAGAGCCTACTTTGATAAGCAATTGTTTGGACACTGAGAACACAGTGCTGAATGAGAAAAAAAAAAAAACATAAAACCAACTCTGGGGGTTTTCATTGTAGTAGGACAGTTGGTCAATAAGCAAAGAAATATTTAATATGAAGTTATGTAACGACAGTCCCCATGAAAGCAAATGTTGAAGGGAGCACAGTAGAGGGGAGTGACTGAGGTGACCAGGGGAGACTTGTCATTTGAGCAAGGACACATTTGCTGGAGACTACAGAGGCACAAGTGTGCTCAGCACATCACAGGGAAACCTGTCCTCTGGTCGCTAAGTATTGTGTCCCATGCACCTGCTATGGAATAAAGATGCACTGGAAGAAACAAAGTGTCAAAGGGACACAGTAAGTGAGCAATAATTCTGGAGCTGGAGAGAAGGCATTTGTTGCCTTGCAGGGGAACCTAGCACTCCTGGAGTACCCACACGGTGGCTCAGAACTGCCTGTCACTCCAGTCCCAGGGTTCCCATACCCTTTTCTGACCTCTGCGGGCTCCTGCATGCACTGTGGCCACATGCACGTAAAATAATAATAAATAGTTATGGTACAGGATGTTCATAATGAAGGTCTGTGTGACTTGTTAGAGCTGCCCAGCAAAAGGAGCATCAGTGGCCTTCTGGAAGGGGTGACGATTTAAAATGAGGGCTGAAACCCTGAAAACTGAAAACTCGGCCTGGAGGCTCACACCTACAATCCCAGGTGAGGCAAGAGGCTTGTCTGTGCTACATAATGAATTTGGGGTCAGCCTACAAGGTGGAGACATGCCCCCCTCCACAAACTGTAAAAGTTGACCTCCTGAGGGAAGGAACTGCTTTTCGCATCAAAAGGCTCCATTTTCTGCTAACAAAGGACAATTTAGGAACCTGAGAACTTTGGAAGAGGTGGAAAAGAGGCTTGATGAAGGAGATAGGAGCCGGGTCATCCGTTGTCCTCTGTCAGGATGAGAGCTGGCATTTTTTGTTTGCCATGTGTGACGCTCTGGAGGCAGAGACAAGCGGATGTCTGTGAGTTCAAGGTCAGTGTGTTCTACAAAGGTAGTTCCAGGCCAGCCCTTGAGGTGGGGAAGGTGGTGGTGTGTACTGGGATTTTTCATTGGATGAGGAGCATCTCCTACTGTATTTCTGAACGGCGTTCCCTATTTTTCCTACAGTAGCAATCTTCCCCCCTTCCCCGCTGTTGTGTCCTACGCGCGCGAGACATCCCCTTCTGTCTTCCCTCGCGGGGTCTCTAAAGCCTGCTGGCATGAAGTTTCCTAAGTGAGGGGTCCCAGGTCTTCAGCCCGAGGCCCCGCCCCGGCCCCGCCCCGGCCCCGCCCCCGATGACGCGCGGCGCCTGGTGCGTGGGGATTCCCGCGGCCGTGGCCCTACCCGGCCTGCCCCGCGGCAAGATGGCGGCCTGAAGGTTCGGCTCCGGCGGAAAGTTTGTTGTGGGGTTTTGAGTCGTGGAGCTGGGAGGCGCGCCTCGGGGAGCATTGCGGGAGGAGTAGGGGTGGAGGGAGGGGCCAGCTCCCAGGTGGAGGATGCAGGGATGGTTGGAAGCGAAAAGAAGAAAAACAGAACCCCGATGGGGGCGGGCGGGAGGGGGCCTGTAACCCTGCGGCCGCCCGGGGGAGGAGGTGGGACGGTGTGGGGGGTGGAGAGCCAGAAATAGGTGTGGTTTGCATGCTGGAGAAGCAGCAATCCCTCCTGAATTGAAAAAGAATTACTTCGCCGAGAGTAAAGCAACCGGAGTTCGGGACAGGCCCGACTCCCTCGGGCCAGGGGGAGGGGAAAGGGCTCTTGCAGTTGCGGTTGGGAAGGATTGGTTGAGAGATCTGGAGTTTGCAGGGCGGGTCTCCCAAGGAGCCGACCGAAGCCAGTCAAATGACCCTCTTCCAGACTTAGCTCAGCCTTTCCATAGCTCCTGTGGCAGCCTCTGCCCCATTCCAGCTGAAGACCCAGGGGCTGGAAGAAATCTCACTGCCTGCCTGGAAAGAAGAGGCAGCGACTTGCCCCAGCCCAACCCCAGAGCGGGTAAGATGGTCTCCAAAGACAGGTTTCTCAGTGGCATTTTCCCTGGGAGAGAATCCGTGGGCTTGGAGAGTCAGTTAATCCGAGGAGGTTGCGCTTCTAGAGAGTTTGTCTGTTGAAGCTGGTGTTTTAGTTAGATTGCTGGCTGCCTTTTGAGAGTTGCTGACGAATTGAGTGTTGCTTGCCTTCATCTGTATGAGCAAGTAGAGATTAAGTTGTGAGTGTGTGTAAGTTGTGTCTGTGTGTGTGTGTGTGTGTATTTTTTTTTTAGGTAGGGTCTCACTGTGTAGCCCTGACTGGCCTGGAATTCACTGCGTAGATCAGGCTGGAAGCATTCTACACATTCCTGTCATGAAGCAGTTTTGTGCACGATTTCTCCCATTCCCCCCTCATATCATCAGTTTGACTTTCTGCCTGAAGTAGGACGTTTTGTGGGTGACATGATGGTGAGTCGTACGAAAGCAAATTTCAGATGGGGTCCACTGACCTTTAGTTGTTTTCCTGTGAGCACCTCCTGAATGACCCAAAGCTGATGTCTGCTTCTGCATTTTTCCTTTGGTAAGGAACGCTCTTTAGTGTGCCTTGGGTGTGGCCTGGGGGAGCCGTGTCCCAGGTGAGAGACAGGGCGGGAATGTGAAGAAACCCAGATGAATTTATGGTAAGGGGTTAGAGTAACTCAGGTAAAGTTTAGGTCACTGTATCCTTGAGACCCCTGATACAATGTTACTTTGTGGTCGGGCCAGTGAGATAAAGGCGGGAATGATGGGACTTGCCCTGTGCCTTCTTCTGCACAGGGGACTTGCTGCTGGAGAGGAAGGACTGAGGCAGAGCGTAGCCCTCACTGCTGTTACTCCCCTAGGCAGACACAGGGTTGCGGGTGGGCTTGGCTGTTCTTTGTTGTTGTCAGTAGGGTTGTTGTTGTCGTTTTTGAGTCACTGTGTGGCTCTGCTGGCCTGGAACTCTTTATGTAGACCAGGCTGGCCTTGAACTCATAGATACATGGGGCTCTGCCTCTCAGTGCTGGGTTTAAAGGTGTGGAACATCATGCCTGGCTTAAATAACTTATTTATGTGCCTTGGCGTTTTACCATGGATGTGGGCTACCCTGGAACTGGAGCTATAGACAGTTGTAAACTGCTGTGTGGGTGCTGGGAATTGAACCCTGGTCCTCTGGAAGAGCAGTCAATGCTCTTAACCCCTGAGCCATCTCTCTAGCTTTAAGTAGTTTATTTTAAATATTTATTTTAATTAAAATGCTTATTTTTATTTTATACTTATGAGTGTTTTGCCTGCACCCATGTTTGTGTACCACATGTGTGCCTGGTACCCTTGGAGGCCAGAAGACGGTGTTTAGACCTCTTGGAACTGGAATTACAGATGGATTGTAAGATGCCATGTAGGTGTTGAGAATTGAACCCATGTCTTCTAGAACAATAGCCAGTACCCTTAACCGATGTCATTTTCCTAGCCCCTATTTATTTATTTATTTATTTGTTTGTTTGTTTGTGTGTGCCTAAGTGTGAATGTGTGCCATGTGTGTGCTCTCAGAAGTCAGAGGGGGCAACAGATCCCTTTTATTTACAAGTAGATGTGAGCGGCCCTATGGGTGCAGGGAATTGAACCTGGTCTCCTGCAAGAGCAGTCAGTACACACTCTGAGTTGCTAAGCCATCTCTCCAGTCCTCAGTTAGTTTGTTTTTTGAAGATAGTCTCACTCTGGTCCAGTCTGGCCTGGAATCTACTGTATAACTCAGACTAGTCCTGAACTTGTGGCATCTCATCGCTCCCCCTTCCCCCCTTTTTTTTTTCTCTTTTTTTGGAGGTAGTCTTGCTTATATCACCTAGGCTCAAGTGATCATTCCACTCAGCCTCTCAAGTAGCAAGTAGCTTAATGTATAGGAGCGCAGCTCTCTGCCCAGTGCGATCCGGTTTCATATTGAAGTCTATTTTGGGACTTGCATCTGTGTGCTGATTGGACTGGAAGGTCTGGCTTCATCTAGCAACTCACTAATCATGTCTTGTTCATTGCACATATACTGCCAGCGCCAAAAGTTTACCCTGGACAGAACACATTAAATCAGTGTCACTAGTCTGGCTGCAGTTCCCGGTATCTGAAGATCTGATGAGATTTAGCTGTAAATTCATTTCTGCAAGTTTGGGAACCCTTTTTTTTTTCCTCCCTGAGGAGAATTTGTGTATGTGAGTCCTTGGGAATTGTATTCGGCTAGAACTGTGCGGTAGCCAGGTATGGCAGTACACACCTGTAACCCTAGCACTCAGAAAGCCGAGGCCAGCATTGTCTACCTAAGACCCTGTTTCCAAAGAAAGAGAGAGTGGAAAAGAGAACATCGTGTTGAGCAGCTGAAAGAATTGAAGATGATATACACTAGTAACTTTAGCATTTGAGAATGAGGCAGGAAGATCTGGAGTCCAGGATCATCCTCAAGTTACAGAACATAGTTGAGGCTGGCCTGGGCTACATAGAACCTGTTTCAAAAAACAAAACAGAACAAAAACTGACACACAGAGCCAGGTTGCTAGTTGGATCTGTCTGTAGCTATTTGGCCTTTCTTAATTGCATAGTTCTATGCACCTCAGATTCTCATTGCTCAGTGGGGACAGTAAGGGTTATTGTAAAAGCTCATACATTAATGTGCTTCGATTCTGTCAGATACTTGGTAAGTTTTGTTGTGCCCATCAGATCTCAGTACTGCCCCATGCCTTGTGATTGGCCCTGTGATCTTTGGAGGATTTGTACTGATGCCGATAGCCCAATACTACAGAGATGCAAGGCAGCCTTTTGATAATGGGCTGTCTAAATTAAGCCGTGTAAAGGGATGTTAGGATGAGGTGGGTTGTGGTAGTGCACACCTTTGATTTCAGGCAGAGGCAGGTGGATCTATGAGTTTGAGGCCAGCTCTGTCTACAGAGAGTTTCTTAGCTACAGAGAAACCCTGGTGTGTATGTGGGGGGGGGGGTGTGCTATGAGGCTGGAAATGTTGTGTTTACAGTTGAGCAGTAATAACAGTGAATATTGAGGACATTTTCTATGTTTGGTGCTGTTGGAAGCACTTTGCATGTGCTAGCTACCTTTTTTTTTTTTTTTTTTTTTTTTTTTTTTTTTTGGTAGTAGCTGTATGAAGAAGATACCATTCTATTTTACAGATGAAGAAAGGAACTAGAGTGGTTGTCATTGTTTTCAAAGGTCCCCAGTTAGTAAGTGGCAGAGCCCTATAGGATATAAACTCAGGATACCTGGCTTGAGCAATTAAATAAGCTAGTTTGCTTTTTAAATTTAATTACTTTGTTTGTTTTGCTTTGTTTTTCCAGGCAGGGTTTCTTTGTGTAGCCCTGACTGTCCTTAAACTTGGTCTGTAGACCAGGCTGGCCTCAAACTCACAGAGACCCAAACTCACAGAGATCCTTCTGCCTCTGCCTCTCAAGTAATAGGTGTGCTCCACCACCGCCCAGCAAATGTAATTAATTAAAAAAAAATTATTTTGGGGCTAGGTATAGTGGTGCACACATTTATTCCTAGTACTCAGGCAGAGGCAGTTGGATCTCGGAATTTGACGCCAGTCTGGCCTACTTAGCGAGTCCCATACCAGCCAGGGCTACATAGTGCCTCTTGACTAAAAAAAGTTATTTTTAAAATATATTTATTTTTAATAGTGTGTGTATGTGTATAGATATGGGTATGTGCATGTGACTGCAGGATCCCTTGGAAGGTAGAAGTTTAGGATCTCCTGGGATTAGAGTTACACATGTTTGTGAGCCACCTGATACGGGTTCCAGGAATTGGACTCAGGGCCTCTGGAAGAGCAGTGCATGCTCTTAATTGCTGAGATCGCTGTCTAGCCTCCTCCCCACCCAAATATTTGTATTAATGTGAAGTTACTTTTTCTGTGTCCCAGCTAGCCACAGCCTCCTGAACACCATGTTATATGGTTCTGCAACCGTGGGCTTCACATATTCTAGGCATGTACCCTACCACTAAAGTGAATCCACAACGCCTCCGGGGCTCTTAAATTGATCCTTTTGCCCCACCTTCCAGAGACAGCGCTGCCGGTGTGCCATGCGGTGCAGTTAGCTTTTGAATGTACCTGGAGGCATCTGTATCTTGCTTGTTTGACTGTCTCTCAGTTCATGTGTTTTGTCCTGTTGGTTAGATGTACACCCATGGGGAACATATTTCGGCAATTTAGAAGTCTTTTCTGAAAACCAGCGCTTCATCTCAGCTCTCTGTTTACTCTTAGAAATAGTAAGTCAGAGACTTGTGTGCTGAGGGAGCCCACTGCGCCCTGTTAGCCAGACCTGTTCCGTCTGTTCAGGGCTCAGTTTGGTGACTGCCTGCTGCAAATGGCATTGGGATCCTTTCTGACTCAGGCATGGTAGTGCCCTGGCCAGAGACAGACAAGAGGATGGCCTTGGGAGGCCAGGCTAGCTAGGGCTCCATGCTCAAAGAGGGATGTGTTCTTTGGTCTTAGTGTAGACAGTAACATTAAGGCTGCCATTTGACTTTGATTATTGACATGAGGAGATAAAGTGGCCACAGTATTAAATCCATGGCCTGTATGTAGTCATTCTTTTAAAAATAGCAGCCTACGCAGAGGAAAGGCAGCGTTTTAAATAGCTTCTTCCTCTCACATTTGGTGAAAGTGGAAACCAGATGCTCCTGTCCTGAAGCTGTGCTGCTTGGAGAGGCCCTGGTACAGGTTCTGAGTGAGTCTCTGACTCCCAGGCAGGGGCAGCCCACAGCCTGAGGGCAGAGGCCAACTTCAGTTTTCACCGACTGGCTTTTCTCTGAGTCATGAGTGTCTATTTAACACACCCTCAGGCCATCTTTTTCTTCAGTAAGTGACTCCACTCTGCCAGTAGGCTCGTGCCTGGTGTATAACCGGATTTTAGGGTACTTGGAGACCCAGGTCTGTGGACTTTCCCTAAGATGTCAGGCCTGACCCCTTAATGAACTTTTCTATCTGTTGTGGCACCTGGCCGTCTTGTT